AAGCCACTTCGTTGACCTATAATTTTTAACCAGGTCATTTCTGAAAAAGATGTTTAGCTCTGTCGGCCTTACCTGGTAAAATAACCACAATTTAGATTTAGTTTAGTGTGTTGGTGAGTGGGCGGGTGAGTGCGTGGGTGAGTGGGTGAGTGTGAGTGGCTCGGTGGTTGAGTTAGTGGGTGGCAGTGGGTGGTTGAGTTAGTGGGTGGTGGAATGTTTTGGTGGTTGAATTATTGGGTGGTTGAGTGATGGGTGGGTGGGTGAATAATTACGTGGTTAGTGGGTGAGTTTCTGAGGGAGTGGTTGGGCGAGTGGGTGGGTTAGAAATTGAGTGGGTGGCATGGTGAGTGGATGTGTATGTGACTGGGTGAGTAGGTGAGTGGCTGGGTGAGTATGTGAGTGGATGGATGAGTGAGGGGGTGAGTGGGTTTGTGGATGAGTGCGTGTGTGGGTAGGAGGTTATGTGGGGAGTGAGTGGGTTAGTGACTGGGTGAGTTGTAGTTGAGATTGTCAGTTTAAAAGTGAGTTGGTGGGTTAGAGATTGACTGGCTCGGTGAGTGAGTGCTGGGTGGGTTAGTGAGTTGTTGGGTGGGTGAGTGTTAGTGGGTGGATGATCGACTGGGTGGGTGGTTGAGTGAGGAGATGGGTGGGTGGGTTGCAGTGACGTGTGGTGAGGTCAATGGCTGGGGAGGCACTGGCTTGTGTCAGAGCCAGATTCACACACTGAGGGGGACGTGGCCTCACGGAGGGGGGCGTGTTAGATGCATCCTCCTCAGTGAGGCAAATGTGATGGCTGCCTCCCCTGGTCCTTTTTCATTGCAGTTTCATGACGAGACCAGCGAGCCTAAATATCTTAATACACATACGTGAAATAAGTTACCTGGAGTATGGAAGGCGAGGACATGAAATGAAGGGGTCTACAAACATTACATTGGTGACATACTGTGATAGTAACAGGCACGCGCTTATTGCCCGCGCTCCATCCAGTTACTGAGGGGTTGCGTAATCAGGGGAGGCTGAGCTCGTCGCTGCCTCACCTCTCGTCTCTTCCTATTTGCAGCGGAGCTCCGCAAATTTGACGATTTTGACTATAAAAATGATTGGAATCGTACAGAAATGACATTTATAACACAGATCCTTGGAAAAATCTTAATTTTTATTTTATTCTCTTTTTTTTTACTTTTCTTAAAAACTATTGTCATTGGAGTATGACAGGTGAGGCTCTGCCTCCCCTGACCGCACGTCGCTGGTGGGTTGGTAGGTTGGTGAGGAAGTGAGAGAGTTAGTGGGTACGAGATTGAGTGGGTGGCTGGCTGAGTGGTTGAGAAGATGGGTGTGCGATTTCATGGGTGAGTGAGTCGGTGAGTGAGTCGGTAAGTGAGTAGGTGAGTGGGTTTTTGTATGGGTGAGTGCTTCAGTGGGTTCATGAGTGAGTGGATGGGTTATTGAGTGAGAGGGTGGATATTTGAGTAAGTGGTGTGCGTGAATAGGTGAATGGGTGGGTGTTTGAGTGAGTGAGTCAGAGAATGGGGTGCCACGGTGGTGAGATGGTAACTTCCTCACCTAGTGTATACAGGAGGTTGTCGATTCGATCCCGACCCTGTCGCAAGTATATTTGATTGTGCTTGTTCTCCTCGTGGTCGCGTGGATTTTTCTCCAGGTCCACGGAGTTTTCCCTCTGCATTGAGAATAAACTTGCATTCAGAGGATTTGGCTGAAATGCATGTGTATGTGATAAGCCACTTCGTTAACCTGTCATTTGTAACAAGGTCGCGTTTGAAAAAGATCTATATAGCCCTGTGGGCCTTACCTGGTAAAATAATAACAGTTTTGTTTTTGTTTCGTGGGTGAGTGAGTGAATGGGTGGGTTGGTGGTTGGGTGGTTGAATGGGGGTTGGGTGGGTGAGTTGGTGGGTGTTCGAGTCAGTGGCTGGGTCATTGTGTGAGTGGATGGGTATTTGAGTAAGTGGTGCGAGTCAGTAGGTGAATGGGTGGGTGTTTGGTTGAGTGGCTGGTAGGTGGGTGAGTAAGTTAGTGTAGGAGGTTGAGTGGGGAAGTTAGTGTGCGAGTGGGTGGGTGAGTGAGTCAGAGAATGGGGCACCACGGTGGTGAGATGGTAACTACCTTGCATAGTATACAGGAGGTCATGGAATTGATCCCGACCCTGCCGCCTGTATATTTCGAGTTTGCATCTTCTCCCTGTGGTCACGTGGATTTTTCTCCGGGTCCTTGGGGTTTTACCTCTGCATTGAGAATAAACTTGCATTCAGAGGATTTGGCTGCAATAAATGTATATGTGATAAGCCACTTTGTTTACCTGTCATTTGTAACAAGGTCGCTTTTGAAAAAGATCTATATAGCTCTGTGGGCCTTAGCTGGTACAATGAGAAATAGTTCAGTTTTCGTTTAGTGGGTGGGTGAGTGGTTGGTGGGTGATTGATTGAGTGGGTGGTTGGGTTGGTGGGTGAGTGTGTGAGTTAGAGAGTGGGTGGGTGGATGGGTGGGTGTGTGAGTGGGGGAGTGAATAGGTGAGTGGATGGGTGAGTGGAGTCTAGAGTGAGTGGGTCAGTGAGTGAGTGGGTTGGTGGGTGGGTCGTTGAGTTAATGAGTGGGTGTGTAGGTGGGTGCACAGGTATGTTCTTGAGTGGCTGTGTGTGTGCATGAGCAAGTGAGTTAGCGGTTGAGTGGGTGGCAGGGTGAGTGGGTGAGTGAGTGTGTGGGTGGCTTTCGTAGTTTAGTGGTTGGGTTAGTCAGATAATGAGGCGCCACAGAGCGAGATGCAAACCCTCTCGCGAAAGCCGACGTTTTAAACTGGTATATTGGAATTCGTATTTTTGACCCCAACCCTGATGCCTGTATATTTGGAGTTTGCATCTTCTCTCGTGGTCACGTCGATTTTCCTCTGATTCCTTCGGGTTTGTTGAACACGTAGACTTTCGCGACCAATATCATCCATAATAGAGGTTTATTTTTTGGGTTAGATCGCGTAAATATATAAATGTGTTGTGAAAACCCACCACCATCCGACACAGCCAACTAGTAAGGGTTGTCACGTACGCAGAACATGCCAATTTGTAACTAGTACAGCACACGGTGTGTTGGAGAGTCAAGCCACAACATTTACAATCTGAGTACGACGTTTCGCCAGTAATTACAACTAGCTTCATCAGGCAACAGCCAGATTTGTGGAGACATTCACCTGTTTCGTTCCTTATATAGAGGCGTAGATGTGTTGCCTGTTTTTATCATTTGCCTGTTATCATTCGCCTGTTATTAAGTTAAAAGTAGAAATAGTTATTATTGTTGTAATCACGTTATCAGTAGAAATAATTGTTATTTCGTTAAAAGTAGAAATAATTATTGTTATCAAGTTCTAAGTGGAAATAATAATTACTGTTCTCATTCACCTGTCGTTATCATTTGCCTGTTGTTATTTTTCGCCTATTGTTATCAAGTTAGAAGTAGAAAGTTATTATTGTTGTTATCATTCGCCTGGTGTTGGTAGCGCACGTCTCTAATCCAGCACTGTGATTCCAAAGAACACAGGATGAGATGTTACTATCCTTTGTGCAAGCACTTCCAAGAGTTCATGAACAGTGAGCCTGGTGAAATTTGGGGAGCGCATCGTCAGTAGCGACCCTTTGGTTCCTAGGGTGTTTCGGCCTTTCATACTATACACCCTCCCCAAAGGCGGCCAGCGACAGGGTGATCAATCCTATGCTTGCGTCCCATTCCCAATTAGTCATAGGAGTTGCCTTGTTGTTGGTAGCCAACATCCCATGGGACTATGCATGGCAGGGGCGTCCTCCTCCCTGAGTCAAGCATTGTTGACTGCATACCTCCTGGCCCTCTCACTTTGGGGCCCAGCTGGGGTCTTTCCTCTTCATCCAGAGCCACTGACTGCTGCCTTCTGCCGCCTCCGATACAGCTTTGATTGCCGAACGCTGGCTCTGGCCCTTAATTCCCAGGTCTCTAAGCAGTCTGGTTGTAGATGTTGCCACAAAACCTCTGCAGCCCACCTCCACTGGTCGGACTTCTGTGTTCCAGCCATGATGCCGTGCTTCGGCAGCTAGATCGGCATAGCGCAGATGTTTTCGCTCATAAGCCTCATCTACTGAGTCCTCCCAGGGTACTGTGAGCTCAATGATGAAGACCTTCTTGAGCGAACGGGACCAGAGCACCACGTCAGGTCTTAGGGTGGTGGTTGCGATCTCCGGAGGAAACACAAGTTGCCGGCCAATGTCAGCTAGCATTTTCCAGTCGCGGGCCAAGCGCAGCTGGTCTCGCTCTATTGGTGTAGAGCCGCTCTTCGGTGGTTTAGCCCCTTCGCGGACAAAGGTCGTCCGTAAGGGGTGTGATGCTGCTGGGGGTGGTAGGGAGTTGGTGGCAGCTCGCTTGTCCTCCAGGGCGGATGCAAGGTTTTTAAGGACTTGGTTGTGACGCCAAGTGTAGCGTCCTTGGGTGAGGCTTGTTTTACACCCTGTGAGAATGTGCCTGAGGTTGGCTGGCATGGAACAGAGGGCACAGTCCGGATCTTCACCATACCATTGGTGAAGATTAACTGGTGTTGGAAGGATGTCATATGTTGCTCTGATGGAGAAGCTCAACCGCCTCGCTTCCGTGGAAGGTAGCGAGGGCTGGTGAATCACCGCACAATGATGTTGTCAAATCCCCTTCCTGTGGGCGTCGAGGTGCCATAACGTGACTCGCCAGGAGAAGGCAGTAGAGCAAGTGGACTAATCGCCATCTTCACCTGTACAGGGATAGAGTGTTTCACCCTCGCACGCATGGGTTTTCTCCGGGTCCTCCGGTTTCCCCCACTGGTATAAACACTCGTCATTAATTAGCGCATAATGCCTCCATAGAGGACCACAGAGCTTGGACAATTGTTGGTACTGGCTCACCACGTAGCTTCCTTCCTGCACGGCTGTGGTTCCTCATGCCTCTGAGTCGTTCTTGTGCGCGCTATAAAACTTTTAATTATTACTGTTATTCGCCAGGCGGTGGTGTTGCAAGCCTGTAATCCAGCAGTGGAAGGCAGCAAGGGTGAGTGGATCACACAGTGAATGTTGTGAAACCCCCTTCCTGTGGGCATCGATGTGCCTTCTCCTGGCTGGCTGGCTAGAAGGCAGTACAGAAAGTGGGATAATCGCCATCTTTTCCTATACGGTTTAAAGTGCTGCCCCCCGGGGTTTCTCCAGGTGCTCCGGTTTCCCCCACTTGTGTAAGAACTCCTCATTCATTCGTCGAAAACTTAAAAAAAAAACAATTCAGGACCCGACTGTGACTCAGTGTGGATTTCCTGGACTAAGTCTATTTTATTATTATAAAGAATTAAAGGGGCTGTTTGATGACACGACTAGAGAGCTGGCTTGCACTGCAGGGAACTTAATATTCAACTTGTATTCCGCAACCCTCAATGGCCATTTTAAGTTAAATTTGTGCATGTAAGACTCGCACAAACAACCATACCCAGAAACCCATAGACCCCAACAGAGACCCATACATTCCTACAGACACTTACTCACACAGCGACCCCATACTCACAGAGACCGATAGACATGCACAGAGACCCATAGCCTCACACAGAGATCCATACACTCAAAGGCCCAAAAACTCACACAGAAATCCATAGATTCGCACAGAGGTCAATAGAATTAGAATTTGAATATTTATTTATACTGAATGAATCTGATAAGCTATAACGATCTGTTTTCACAGACGTCCAATCGGGTAGGTCAGAAAATAACAAAAATACAATACAAAAACATCACAGGAAAGGTAAACAAATTGTTTCGAAATATACAAATTAAACTGAACTCTTTTTATCTTACCATAGATTCAAACGTGTTGGACTCGCACAGAGATCTTAACCACTAAACCTCGAACAATTAAAACACTCTAAACCCCTAACTATCTAAATCCATAACCATCTAAACCGCTAACCCTCTCAACCTCTTTACCCTTACAACCCTAATCTTTAAACCCCTCGCCCTCTAAAAGCTTAACCTCTAAACCCCCAAAACCCTAACCATCTCAACCCCTAATCCTCTAAATTCCTATACCCCTAACCCTCAACCCCTTTACCCTTCAAATCCTAACCCACCAAAACCCTCACTCTCTAAACCCCGTATTCTTTTAACCCTAACCGTCTAAGCCAATAAAAACCAAACCCTCTAAACCCTCTGAATCCCTAACCCTCTAAACCTTGAAACCCTAACCTTCTAAAACCCTAAATCCCTAACATTCTAAATACCAACCAATTTAAACCATAACCCTCGAAAGAACTAACCCTCTAGACCCCTAACCCTCTGAACTCATAACCTCCTAAATCCTCAACCTCTAAAACCCTAATTCTCAAAACCCTAACGTTTTAAAACCCTAAATCCGTAACCTAATCCCAACACATTTAAATCCCAACCCTCTAAAGAACGAACCCTCTAGACGCCTAACCCTTAATACACCTATGCCCCTAAAATGCTAACCCTCTAAGCACATAATCCACTAAACCCGTAACCCTCAAAACCCAAACGTTCTAAAACCCTAAATCCGTAACCTAATCCCAACACATTTAAACCCCAACCCTCTAAAGAACGAACCCTCTAGACGCATAACCCTTAAAATACCAATGTCCCTAAAATACTAACCCTCTAAACAGATAATCCACTTAACTCGTAACCCTCTAAACCCATAAAGGTTTTTTGTTGTTAGATTATGTAAATATAAACGTGTCGTTAAACCAACCACCACCCGAAACAGCCAATTAGTAAAATTTGTCACATCAACAAAAAGTGGCATTTAGTGTTTGAGACTAACCAAAAAAAAAACTTTATTATGGACAATATTAGTTGTGAAAGTCTAGGTGTTAAACCCTCAACTCTCAAACCACTAAACCCGTAACACTGTAAATCACTAACCCTTGAAACCCCGATACCTCTAAGCCCCTAAACACATACCCTTATAACCTCCTCAACTACTAACCATCTAAACCATTCAACCTCCAACAATCGAAACCCATAAACCTCTAAACACATAACTCTCTAAACCCCTAACCCTCTAAAACCCATAAACCTCTAAACACGTAACTCTCTAAACCCTCTAAACTCAAAACGTTCTAAACTCTAACCCTCTAAACACCAAATCCTCTGAAGGACTTTCCCCTTAAGACCCCAACCGTCTAAACACCTCACTCTATAAAACCGCAACCCATAAACCCCCAACACTCTTAACTGCCTAAACCCTTAATCATACAAACCCCAAACCGTCTAAACCCCTAAACCTGTAAAACCGTAACCCACTAAACCCCTCACCTTATAAACCCCTAATTCCCTAAACATCAAACCTCTAAACCCATAACCTTCTAAAACTCCTAACCTTGTAAACCAATACACCGAGCAATCAAAACCCATGAACCCTCTAAACCTCTAAACACCCAACTCTCTAAACCCCGAACCCTCTAAATCCATAACCTTATAAACTCTAATCAAATAAAAAAAACCTCAACCCCTTTACCCTTAAAACCCTATCCGTCTAAACTCACCCTTTGAAATCCTAACCCAAATACACCGAAAACCCTAACCCTCTAAACCCCTCATGAGGCGATCCACATATACAAACACAGAGACAATTTCAACCGAGAAGATGGATTATGGCTTAGCAATCATTGGAAGGACGTAATAAACCATTTCGGATCTTCACTGATTGTGTTCACGTTTACGGTGACTTTCAGACCGCGTTCCACTCACTGGCATTGTATTCTCCGCAGGGAATGGATTCTTTGCTCCGCTGCAAGTTTCCCCTCACTACTCACCCATTGACACGACGGTCAATGGTACAGTGTATAATAACAAATAGTATAACATTTATATGCTTAATACAATGTACAAAGTAATATATAGTATCGTAATTATATAGTAAATATATAGCAGTGTGATACACATTAGGGTGGGTAGAATAATACATAGTGTTATATGGTTTATAGCAGGGGTCCTCAAACTACGGCCCGCGGGGCACATGCGGCCCGCCGAGGACATTTATCCGGCCCGCCGGGTGTTTTTGCCGCCGCTGCCTGTCTGTTACTTTTTTTCTACATGAGAAGGACGGTCATTGGTGGAAGAGGGAGAGGGGGCGGAGTTCCCCCCAATCGGACTGCATTGATGGGCAGTGCAGTCTGTATGTCTCTGTGTGGGCAAAGTTATTGCTGGTATATTGTTTTTGTAGCGCTGTATATATATTGGTATTTTACTAATAGCAATTTTGACTCCCTAGGAAACAATGATGTCAAGAAAGAGAAAAATTGACTCGGAGTGTAGGATATTCAAAGAACAGTGGACTTATGATTACTTTTTTATGCAGTACAAGGAAAGAGCTGTGTGTCTGATATGCCAGAATATAGTGTCTGTGTTCAAAGAATACAATTTACGTCGACACTATGAAACGCAACGTAAAGATAAATATGATTGTTTGGTCGGAGAAGTGAGAAAAGATAAAATATTAAAACTGAAAAATACATTAACAACTCAGCAAACTACTTTTGTGAAGCAGAAGCAGCTAAATATTTCATCACTGCGAGCAAGTTTTCAAGTTGCCAAGCTAATAGCGTGCACTGGCAGACCATTCGTGGAGGGAGAATTTGTTAAAGAATGCCTTCTTTCTGTTGCCAAAGAGATGTGTCCAGAGAAGGCCGATTTATTTAGTACAGTGAGTCTTTCAGGACCTTCAATTACACGGAGGATTGAAGAAATGGGAGACAATTTGCATCAGCATTTACAAAACTCCACAAAAAAACTTTTCTATTTTTCCTTGGCACTCGACGAAAGCAATGATGTTCGTGATTCTGCACAACTTCTAATTTTTATTCGTGGGACGAATGACTATTTCGAAGGCACAGAAGAGCTTGCTGCACTGCAAAGCATCAAAGGAACAACTACAGGAGAGGATATCTTTCGATTTAAAGCTTTCGTGACTGCAGGGATTCATCTTCTTAGTTCTTTCGGTAAAGTCACGTAGAAGGGAAGTAATAAAATAATAAAAGTAAAACATAATAAAATAATTCTCACGACGTTTCGGCCACAACGCAAGCAGCCGTCCTCAGGTGAAAACCAGGTCTGTTGGGGAGACAGCCTCTGAATGAAACAGCACACGAGCTTGGAGAATATATAAGCTGGGTTGGAAGCGGGGGAAAGAGCGCATTGACAAAATAATTTCCATATCAAGAGGAATGTAGCATATTTACGGGAAATGCAGGAATGTGATTAGTACTACATATGCCCGTGCTGCATATGTAGTACTAATCACATTCCTGCATTTCCCATAAATATGCTACATTCCTCTTGATATGGAAATTCTTTTGTCAAGGCGCTCTTTCCCCCGTTTCCAACCCAGCTTATATATGCTCCAAGCTCGTGTGCTGTTTCATTCAGACGCCGTCTCCCCGACAGACCTGGTTTTCACCTGAGGACGGCTGCTTGCGTTGTGGCCGAAACGTCGTGAGAATTATTTTATTATGTTTTATTTTTATTATTTTATTACTTCCCTTCTACGTGACTTTACCGAAAGAACTAAGAAGAGAGGATATCTATGAAAAGTTTTGCCAAACTGTGAATGGTTTGGAGCTGAACTGGGCTAAACTAGCCAGTGTGACAACTGATGGTGCTCCTAGCATGGTGGGGTCTAAGAAAGGAGTAATTGCTCGCATTAACCAAGAGATGGACGAACATAACCATTCTCATCCAATAGCCATACACTGCCTCATCCACCAACAAGCGCTGCGTAGTAAATCACTGAAGTGGGACTCTGTTATGAAAATTGTGGTATCTTGTGTTAAATTCATTAGAGCTCATGCACTAAACCACAGACAATTTCAGGAATTTCTGTCTGAGCTAAATGTTGACTATGAAGATGTTCTGTACCACACAGAAGTCCGTTGGCTGAGTCGAGGGAGAGTTTTGAAACGTTTCTACCAGAGCTCAATGATGCAGAATGGAAATGGCACCTTGCCTTTCTGACAGATGTAACAGAGCTACTCAACAGTTTCAATGTGCAACTTCAAGGAAAGGGGAAGCTCATCTGTGATATGCAATCACATGTCAAAGCATTTGAAGTAAAATTAGGCCTCCTCATCAAACAAGTGAAGGAGGAAAACTTCTGCCATCTCCCCACAACTCAAAATCTGTTAGCGGAAAAACCATTGGTTGCATTCCCAAACAAAACATGTGTGGATTCACTGGAAAAATTGCAAAAGGAGTTCCAATTTAGATTTAAAGAGCTTCATCTCCATGAACAGGACATACAGCTTTTCCGTAACCCATTTTCTATTGACATTGAAAATGTGGATACAATTTACCAAATGGAACTGGCTGAACTGCAGAATTGTGACTCTCTGAAAGACGCATTCAAGTCAAGCAGCCTTCATAATTTCTATGCATCTCTCCCCTCTGAGACATATCCTCATCTCAGGAACCATGCCCTAAAAATGCCAACCATCTTTGGCAGCACTTATGTCTGTGAACAGACTTTTTCCAGAATGAAACATTTGAAATCTCCAACCAGATCTAGACTAACGGATGCACACTTGCATCACTTGTTACGACTAGCAGTGACAAATATGGAACCGGACATTGACCATCTCATTAGCCAAAA